GTTTGGGGTGCAGATCCCGGTTCCACGAGCCCCCCAGGCGATCCCTGAGGAGGTTTGGGATTGGGGTGCAGATCCCAGTCCCACGAGCCCCCCAGGCGATCCCTGAGCTGATTTGGGGTGCAGGTCCCGGTTCCATGAGCCCCTCCAGGGGATCCCTGAGCTGATTTGGGGTGCAGATCCCGGTTCCACAAGCCCCCCCAAGGATCCCTGATCAGGAAGGCCCCGCAGAGCAGCTCCCCCAGGCTGTGCCCGGATCACTGGGCAGATAAAATCTGAGATCTGCTCGTGCCCCACCCCGCCAGCAGCAGCACAAACCCCAACAGCAGCCTCACTCTCACTTTTTATTCAACTGGCACAACACACACGGCTTTGGGACACAAACCGGGGATTTTGGGACACAAACCTGACCTCAGGGTGGATTTTCCAGGCCCTACAATTCCCAAAACCCCTTGGACAGGGGGATAACACAGAAAACCAGGGTGAAAAGGCATTGCTGAAGAAACACGACACAAATCCACCTTCCCACTGTGTGGAAAACTGGAATGGGAGCTCCAGGAGCAATTCAGCTGCCGGGACTGGGTTTGAGGTCATCCCGACATATTTCACAAGYGAGCGGCTCCGCTGGGCTCCTTCCCAAAGGAAAAGTACACAGAGAGAACAAAAGGGATCCTCTGCACACAGCAGGCTTCTCTCAACCCCAAATAATTCCAGAGAAACWGTCTGACTCCTGCAAGGCACTTTTGGAAGGAGAAAAAAGTTTTTTTCTCAAACAGTGCCCAATAACTGAGCCCCTGCTGTACCCAGGAGAGACTCAGCACATCAAATCCAACTGAAAAAAGGCACTGATTCCTTTAAATTTTGGCTAAAGCTAAACCTTGGCYTTTAGGCTGGACTCAGATGTCGTCTGGATAAAATCAGGTTTATGTGGACGAGGATCAGGCACTGCAGAACAAAAGTGAAGGCACAGATTCTTTGCCGAGGAGTCACTTTTATAAACGAAGAAAGAAGAATAAAAATAAAAGTTTTGTGCAAGAAATTCCTCACAGATGCAGGATTTCATTTGCCTGTAAGGCCCCTGAATCCCACAGTCCCTGGCACGTGGAATAAAATACATAAATATGCATTTTACTGTGTTGGCATTTCATTTCACCCCAAAGGCCCCCAAACAGGAGATGTTAGAGGCTGCCAGTCCAAAAGGGTGAAGAAAATTACTTCAAACACAGCTTTGTAAAAAATAATCCTGAGAAGTGGCACAAATGGTTTGGAACTGAGTTTTTAACCAAAACATGGGATTTCTTTGGGAAAAGATCTAATTCACACACTTTCCCCCCCACCCCCAGTCTGGTGGAGTTTGAAAATTCCCAAAGCTGCCACATTTGTCCTTTTTGGGGAAGAGCTCTTTGGGGTGCTGCTCTGGCACTCTGTAGGGTTCTGTAGAACCAAGAGGCTCCAAGTGCCACCCCCATTCCTCACARAGCTCCTGTCACCCCTGGACTGTGAATTTTGTTTTCCTTATTCCTGTGGTTTGTCTCCTTTTTCCCCTTGCCTCTCCAGAAAAAAGGAGGAGGGAGGACTCTCTGAAGGGGATAATCTGRGTATTAAACACACCCAGGATGGAGTCCCGTCAGCAATTCCATCTCCAGGATCTCTTCACTGTGGAGAAAACCATTTTTTCCACCTTAAAGCAGGAAATGCTCCCTGAGGCTCAGGCCCACAAGACCTCCCACACTTCAGCCACGAGTGGCCATGGAATGTCCTCATCCCACTGTGGAGCTCTATCACAAGTGACAATGACCATGGAATGTCCTCATCCCAGCTCCTCTAGGGGTGACAGTGACCATGGAATGTCCTCATCTGCTGTGCAGGTTACCCAGGAGTGACAGTGGCCATGGAACGTCCTCATCTGCTGTGCAGCTCCCCCAGGGGTGACAGTGGCCATGGAATGTCCCCATCCCACTGTGGAGCTCTATCACAAGTGACAATGACCATGGAATATCCTCATCCCAGGTCCTCCAGAGGTGACAATGACCATGGAATGTGCTGATCCCACTGTGCAGCTCCTCCAGCAGTGACAGTGACCATGGAATGTCCTCATCTGCTGTGGAGCTTCTCCAGAGGTGACAGTGACCATGGAATGTCCTCAGCCACTGTGGAGCTCTATCACAAGTGACAGTGGCCATGGAATGTCCTGTCCCGCTGTGCAGGTCACTCATGAGTGACAGTGACCATGGAATGTCCTCATCTGCTCTGCAACTCCTCCAGAGGTGACAATGACCATGGAATATGCCATCCTGCCCCACGGCAGCCCTGGTGTCCCGCTGCAGAAGGATCTGTCACTCTGAGTGCCGCAGGGATGTGGTGATGGGTGTCACACGGAGCAGGGTCCAGGCAGGCTCTGGATGGCCACAGGGACACGGTGATGGGTGTCACACGGAGCTGCCCACAGGGACACGGTGATGGGTGACACACGGAGCTGCCCACAGGGACACGGTGATGGGTGACACACGGAGCTGCCCACAGGGACACGGTGATGGATGTCACACGGAGCAGGGTCCAGGCAGGATCTGGCTGCTCACAGGGACACGGTGATGGGTGTCACACAGAGCAGGGTCCAGCAGGCTCTGGCTGCTCACAGGGATGTGGCAATGGGTGACACACAGAGCAGGGCCCGGCAGCTCTGGCTGCTTACAGGGACACGGTGATGGGTGGCACACGGAGCAGGGTCCGGCAGGCTCTGGCTGCTCACAGGGACACATTGATGGGTGTCACACGGAGCAGGGTCTGGCAGGCTCTGGCTGCTCACAGGGATGTGGCAATGGGTGTCACACGGAGCAGGGTCCAGCAGGCTCTGGCTGCTCACAGGGGTGTCACACGGAGCTGCCCACAGGGATGTGGCAATGGGTGTCACACAGAGCAGGGTCCAGGCAGTGCCCAGCACCGTGGGCACCGTGCCCCTCAGGCCTTGGGGCGCCGCAGCTCCTGGCTCAGGGTGCCAGCCCTGTCCTTGCAGTCGGCGTTGGGGCAGCGGGACACGGCGCTGGCCGCCNACAAGACCTCCCACACTTCAGCCACGAGTGGCCATGGAATGTCCTCATCCCACTGTGGAGCTCTATCACAAGTGACAATGACCATGGAATGTCCTGTCCCGCTGTGCAGGTCACCCATGAGTGACAGTGACCATGGAATGTCCTCATCTGCTGTGCAGGTCCTCCAGCAGTGACAGTGACCATGGAATGTCCTCATCCCACTGTGAACCTCAGCCATGAGTAACAATGACCATGGAATGTCCCCATCCAGCTGTGCTGGTCACCCATGAGTGACAGTGACCATGGAATGTCCTCATCCCAGCTCCTCTAGGGGTGACAATGACCATGGAATGTCCTCATCCCGCTGTGCAGGTCACCCACGAGTGACAATGACCATGGAATGTCCTCATCCCGCTGTGCAGCTCCTCCAGGGGTGACAGTGACCATGGAATGTCCTGTCCTGCTGTGCAGGTCACCCACGAGTGACAGTGACCATGGAATGTCCTCCTCCTGCTGTACAAGTCACCCAGGAGTGACAATGACCATGGAATGTCCTCACCTCACTGTGGAGCTCTATCACAAGTGACAGTGACCATGGAATGTGCCATCCTGCCCCATGGCAGCCCTGGTGTCCCGCTGCGGGAGGATCTGTCACTCTGAGTGCCACAGGGACACGGTGATGGGTGTCACACAGAGCTGCCCACAGGGACACGGTGATGGGTGTCACACAGAGCTGCCCACAGGGACACGGTGATGGGTGTCACACGGAGCTGCCCACAGGGACACGGTGATGGGTGTCACACGGAGCAGGGTCCGGCAGGCTCTGGCTGCTCACAGCGATGTGGCAATGGGTGTCACACAGAGCAGGGTCCAGGCAGGCTCTGGCTGCCCACAGGGATGTGGCAATGGGTGTCACACGGAGCAGGGTCCGGCAGGCTCTGGCTGCTCACAGGGACACGGTGATGGGTGTCACACGGAGCAGGGTCCAGGCAGGCTCTGGATGCCCACAGGGACACGGTGATGGGTGTCACACAGAGCAGGGTCCAGGCAGGCTCTGGCTGCTCACAGGGACACGGTGATGGGTGTCACACGGAGCAGGGTCCAGGCAGGCTCTGGATGCTCACAGGGACACGGTGATGGGTGTCACACGGAGCAGGGTCCAGGCAGGCTCTGGCTGCTCACAGGGACACGGTGATGGGTGACACACAGAGCTGCTCACAGGGACACATTGATGGGTGTCACACAGAGCAGGGTCCAGGCAGGCTCTGGATGCTCACAGGGACACGGTGATGGGTGTCACACGGAGCAGGGTCCAGCAGGCTCTGGCTGCTCACAGGGATGTGGCAGTGGGTGTCACACGGAGCTGCTCACAGGGATGTGGCAGTGGGTGTCACACGGAGCTGCTCACAGGGATGTGGCAATGGGTGTCACACAGAGCAGGGTCCAGGCAGTGCCCAGCACCGTGGGCACCGTGCCCCTCAGGCCTTGGGGCGCCGCAGC